CTGGATCCATGTGTGGCTCTTACACTGTGTTGGACACTGTGCTTCCATGATAATCAGCAAGGGGGCTGGGTGTGGGACAGTGTGTGCGTAGAAAGGACTGTCATTCTGTGTGTGTCTGACAGAAATTAGCAGTATGGGGTGACAGGCCCTGACATGCTGAGCATATGGTGACATATCCCCTGGGTTTCCTCAGGGCCTCAGATGAGCCCTGAGATGCAGGAGGCCCTCCGTCACCATTGGGTGGCCAGATGGGTGATGGCTAGGGTGTTATAGACACTGGGGAACACTCCTGTCTGCCCATGACTGGCGGTGGCCTGGAGTCTGGGTGTACTGGGTGTGGTGACCCCTCTCTGCTGTCCAGGCCACACTGGCCCATCTCCAGCTGATTGTGCTCTGTCTCCAGAAGCCAGGGATCCTGGGAGACTCTCCCCTGGGCACCCTTCAGCCTGGGGCCCAGCCGGCCAACCCCCTTCTTGGGGAGCTCTCTGCAGGTAACACAGACCCCACCCCTCCTCATCTTCCTGGACCCCTTCCCACTTCCCCATTCTGAGCCTCTTTGCTTATTGGGCATGGGCAAATGACCTAACCTCTCTGGGTCTCAGTGGCTCCATCTGTCAGTGGGCCCCTACCCCTAGGGTGGCCGGGAGCATCCTGGGAGTTAATGTGCTTAAAGGGCTCTGCTCAGTATCTACCACTGACCTCCTGGACCTCCAGGACCACATACCTCCTGGTCCTGGTTCAAGCGGAGGCTTGGGGCCCCAGGAAGACAGGTCCTATGTGGTTGGACACCAACACCTCCTTCTCTCTGTAGGGGGGGCCTTGCCCCCGGAGCTGCCACCCCGGCGAGGGAAGCCACCACCTCTGCTGCCGCCACTGCTTGGCCCCTCTGGGGGTGACCGGGAAGCCATAGGCCTGGGTCCCCCAGCAGCCCAGCTCACTCCACCCCCTGCCCCAGTGGGACTCCGAGGCACTGGCCTTAGGAGCCTCCAGAAAGACAGCGGGCCTCTGCCAGCACCCCCTGGGGTAAGGCTCCTCTCTGCACCCAGTACCATCCTTGCCTTCTACCCTGCACGGTCCTGCCTGCCAGGGGTCCTCACGAATCCAGCCCTCCCACCACAGGTCTCGCTGCTGGGGGAACCCCCAAAGGACTTCCGGATCCCCCTGAATCCCTACCTGAACCTACAAAGCCTACTCCCAGCCAGCAACCTGGCGGGTAAGGAGGCTCGGGGCTGGGGAGGCACAGGGAGAAGCCGCCGCCCAGCTGAGGGCCACCTGCCTAACCCCCCAGCCCCTGGAGCTGGTGGTGGAGGTGGTGGCAGCAGCAAAGCCTTCCAGCTCAAGTCCCGCCTGCTCAGCCCTCTCGCCAGCACCCGCCTGCCCCCTGAACCAGGGCTGCCTGACAGCTATGGTTTCGACTACCCCTCGGTGAGTACCTCACTGCCATGTGGTCAGCCCTCCCGAGGGCTGCTGCTGTGATCCTGTGACCTCCCTAGAGCAGATCATTCTTCAAACCATTGTTCTTCTAGTACTGATTGCCAGGCAAATGCTAGGGAGATAGCGGGGAAGGTGCCAGACACAGTCCCTACCCTAAATCTCATGTCTGCTTGTCTCTGCACATCAGAGCTGCTTCCTGTCTCTATCTCCCAAGAGGTTTTAGGCTGTGCTTCTCCCTCTCAGAGACAAGGCTTGGTGTCCTGTTGGTCTCTGTTCTTCTCTGACTCCTGTCTCTGTGCCTGGAGAGCTACTCCTTCTGTGATTCCAACCTCCCCCAGAGCCGATGTTGGAGCCAGGCTGCCAACAGGCCCCCTGTGTTCTGTTCAGCCTACACTGGGTTAAAAAAAAAAATCACAAATGAAATAAATGTCAATACTAATACACAGGAGAGTTCACACAACCCAGATGCCAAGCTGGCCTTGAAACTCTGTGAACACCCGGCCCCACAGGGGCCACGTGCCTTCATGGCAGCTGTCTCTGGGGCCAAGGTATAACCACTCCCTGCCACAGGGCAAACACTGTCATCTCAGCTGCCCCACCCTGCACTTGAAAGTTGCCTCCACACAGTAGTGTGCCCTCTGCTGAAGGGGGCAGGCTTCCTCGGTAACAGCTGTGTCCTGGAATTTAGCCGGGGGTGAGGCTGGTGCTACCTCTAACCCAATATGCCTCTCCCACTTTCATTCAGGATGTGGGACCTCGGCGGCTCTTCTCCCACCCCCGGGAACCAGCTCTAGGGCCTCACAGACCCAGCCGGCACAAAGTAAGAGTTGCCCGACCTTTGCATCACCTCCTGGGCGAATCAGTTAGCTTTTGTGGCATAACAAGCAGCCCCACTACTTTGTAGCTTAGAACAGCAAATATTTTATTTCTCACTAATCTTCGAGGTGGCAGGTGGGTGGTGATTCCCTGCAGTCACCCTGGTGGCCCGGCTGGGGCTCAGTAGTCTGCAGTGGTTCTAGCACTTATGACCTGGCACTTATTAAGCAGGTGAAGGGGCCTCAGCTGGGACAATTTACCTCTTGCACATGGAGCTCATTCTCCAGCAGGCCACCCTGTGATGCTGTCCTGCATGTGGTGGTCCCAGATGGTTCCAGGGTTCCCAGCAGGAAGAAAGGAGGGCAGGCACATCTGCCTTTATTTGTTGTCATGCTATCCCGGTGGCCAAAGCTAATCATGTGACAAAGCCCCTGGCAGAGTGGAGGGGTGACTTTGGGAGGGTCTATAAAAGGGGTTGGGTTCTTCATAATCTGTCTTACTCAGCCCACCCCTTCTCTGCAGATGTCACCCCCGCCCAGTGGTTTTGGAGAACGGAGTGGTGGAGGCGGTGGGGGGCCCCTCTCCCACTTCTATTCGGGCTCGCCCACTTCCTACTTCACCAGTGGCCTGCAGGCTGGCCTCAAGCAGAGCCACCTTAACAAGGTGAGGAGCTTCCCCAGCTGAGGACCATTCCCCAGGGACAGCCAGGATGCAGGAGTCCCTGTGGCCCTTGGTGCCTGGGCCAAGGCTGGAGTGGTGGCAGAGTGGGCGTCCAGCTCTGCTCAGGGCTGAACTGAAACAGACTGCCCTCCCCATGCCTACATCTCTTGCACCTCATGTTGCCCAGCTTTCCTGGCTACCTTTACTCCCTCCCCAGTAGCCCACAGTGTGGGTGAGATCAGCCCCAGTTGACAGATGAGGAAATGGTTCAGAGAAGAGAAATCATCTTCCCTCCAGTCTCCTAGCTGATGAGTAGCAGAGGCAGGATTCCAGCCTGAAACCCCTTGCCTTTGCCCCGGGGGCTGCTTTCTCTCTCGTTCCATCTCTCGCCCATGTCTCCCAGGCGGTTGGCTCCTCTCCACTGGGCTCTGGAGAAGGGCTCCTGGGCCTCGGCCCTGGGCCCAATGGCCACAGCCACCTGCTGAAGGTATGTAGGTGGTGAGTGGATGGGGGGCTGCAGGGCCACACAGGACTGGGGGGCGGTGGCCCCTGGATGGCCTCTGACTTGCCACCTCCTCCCCTCTGTCTCTAGACCCCACTGGGTGGCCAGAAACGCAGCTTTGCCCACCTGCTGCCCTCACCTGAGCCCAGCCCAGAAGGCAGCTACGTGGGCCAGCACTCCCAGGGCCTGGGCGGCCACTACGCAGATTCCTACCTGAAGCGCAAGAGGATTTTCTAAGGGGCCAGTGCCAGAGATGCTCAAGGGCCTGCACCAAATCGCTTTTGGGTTTTCTGGTGTTCTGTTTGTGTTTCCCCCCCCCCTTTCAGTAATAGATCTCTGAAAGACTTTGTTGACCAACCAGCCGGAACCCAAGGAGTGTGGGGGGCATCTGGGGGCCACTGTGTACCTCCGGCCTGCTCCCGGCATGGAAACTACAGCCTTAAGAGAGAGGGGCCCTGGCCTGCTCTCTGTTCCCCACCCTGTACCCGACTGTGTCTGTCTCTCTGGGAGTCCTCTCCTGCCTCGTCACTCCTGTATCTTGGCCTTTCGAGTGCCTTGGAGGTTCCCCTGACCTCCCGTGAGGATCAGAGACTGTCCCCCTTTTTTTAACTTTGACAATTGACTTTTGTTTCCTTTTCTAATTTGTATTATTTTTTAAATAATCCAGGACGACCCCCAGCTCTGATTCCTTCAGGGTCCAGCATGTCTGGGCCTTCATTCCACACTCTTGGGTTTGAAATGGCTCAGCCCTTTTTCTCTCTCGTGTCTGCCGCAGGCATGGCTGTGTCCTGCCCCTGCCTGCCCACTCTGGCCTGTAGTCCAGTTTGGGGTCCCCAGCCCCCTGCCACAGTTCCCTCGCCTTCTGATGCCTTAAAGCCAGGTCCCAGGCCCTGTGGTCAGAGCCTCTTAGATGCCGAGCTCCGGAAGCTTGACTCAGGACCAAATGGCTCTGGCCTGGGGATTGGGGACCTCCACCCAGGGTCCCCACTCTAAGGACAGTAGAAGGCCAAAGCCTTGGTCTTGGCAAACAAGCCCCATCATCCTTCCTGCCCAGGCCTAGGTGCAGAGACAGGTTTTCTCTGCCAACTGAAACCAGTCCCGCTGTCTTGTCAGTGTGTGGGAGTCAGGTATTGTGCATCTCACTGAGCCTCTGCTGTCTCCCCACCCCGCCCCGTGTTGAAGATGAGCTCCGCCTCTCCATCCCCAGGCTAGATAACCTGGAGCTGGCCTCCTGGCCGCCTGTTGGCCCAGTGCCCAGTCCAGCAACTTCATGCAGATAAGCTCTGCCCCCTGCCCACCAGCAGGACCTGTCGGCCTGAGGAGATCCTGGGCCCTCCCCCCTGGCCGGCTGGGCCACCAGCTTCCCTCCTCTGACTCTGGGGGGAGGGTCCACATCCACTCCAGGGGGGTGTCGTCTCCCCAGTCCTCTCTCACAGACCTTCCTTTGCTGAATTAAAGTTTGTAAGTAAATGGTTTTAAAGAAAGCAAAGCTGGCTGGTTCTTGGGACACAGCGGGCCTGGGTGGGAGGTCCCGGATGGCCCCGCAGGTGTGTGGGGGTGAGCCTGCCTGGCCCCCTCCCACTCCAGCAGCCCCTTCCTGGGGTCTTGCCCCTCGCGCGCCCAGCTCAGACGACGGTGCTTCTACTCGGGTAACTGCGGGCCCGCGGGTCGCGTGGCTGCCACTGGGCATGCCCAGGCGCGGGTCACGTGACGCCTGTCATGGCCGCCTCCATGGCCCGGGGAGGCGTGAGTGCCGGGTTTCTCCTGCGGGCGGCCAGGGGAGCCTGGTGGAGTCGGCCTGGGGGCTTTTGGGGGTCTGGGGAGGCGGCGGCGCCAGCGACAGCTAGAAGATTCCGAGCGACAGGTACCTGGGACGCCTTGGGGGACAGCGTTGGTCCGTCGGACCCCTCAGGGCGCCGCGCGGCCGCTCACCCAACCGTGTTTTCCAGGCTCGCGGCCGGCGGGGGAGGAAGAAGCTGGCGGCCCCGAGCGGCCTGGGGACGTGTGAGTGCAGGGGCCAAGCCCCCCATTCTTTATCCCACGAGGTTTCTCTGGTCCCCGCCTTGCCCTGTGTCCCCCTTCGACACCGTCCTATTCCCCTGGCCATCAAAGCCTCCTAAACCTAGATGTGACCTGGCCACCGCGCCCATCATCAGGTTTGGCATCTGCACCCTCCTCTGTCCCCAGGGTGAACGTGGTGTTCGTAGACCGGTCAGGCCAGCGGATTCCGGTGAGCGGCAGAGTGGGGGACAATGTTCTCCACCTGGCCCAGCGCCATGGAATAGACCTGGAAGGTGGGAACCCTGCACTGGGAACTGGGGACACCCTTATTCATTGTTTAAAAGACCCCGCAAATCCGATATGATTCTCTGTCACTTAACTCTTCCCATGGCTTCCCATAAAACGTGGCTAAAATCCAGACTCCTCTCCAATATCTCAAACTCCGACCGGCTCTAAACCTTCATTCATTCAGCAATTATATAGTGAGCATTTATCTAGGTTATTAAAATTCCTGCCCTCCAGGAGCTTGTATTCTCTCCCTCCTTCCTCTCTCTAGTCTAGACACACTGGCCTTCTTGCTGTTCCTCAAACAAAAAGCCAAGTGCATACCTGCCTCGGGGCTTTTGCATGTGCTGCTCTGGATATCTCAAGTACTTTCCCACCAGATCTTCTGGCTCCATCTCATCCTTCGGGTCTCAGTGTAAATGTCATCTTCCTGACAATCCCCTCCCCTCGGCCCAACTAAAGCCCCCATCCCTGGCCTCTCTGCCATCTCAGTGTGCTATATTGTCCTCATAGCACTTCTCAGTGTCTTGTTTTCTTTTTGTCATCTGTCCTGAGAAGGAGATCAGAAAGCCTGTTGCTACTTATGGTTGCCTGCCATGGTATTTAGATGTAACACGTATTAAATTGGTATTTGTTAAATGAAAGATAATAAAAGCAGATGTTACTTTGAGCGCATTAAATACCTATTGACTGAATCTTCATAACAAGCTTATGTGCTAGGGGAGATCATTGTCTCATTTTATAGGTGAGGAAACAGCCCCAGGTTAAGTTGACAGGATCTAAGGTCAAGTAAGTGACAAAACTAGATTCAAAGCCAGTTTATTCTCACTACTAATCTGTGCTCCTTTCCATGCATATCAGACACCTACTGTGTGCCAGGCAGCATTGTACAAAACAGATAAGGCCCCTGTCATTTCTTTTTTTTTTTAAGATTTTATTTATTTATTCATTAGAGACACAGGGAGAGAGAGGCAGAGACACAGGCAGAGGGAGAAGCAGGCTCCATGCAGGGAGATGTGGGACTCGATCCCGGTATGCCGGGATCACACCCTGAGCCAAAGGCAGACGCTCAACTGCTGAGCCACCCAGACCTCTGGGCCCCTGTCATTTCTTTTTTTAAATTTTTATCTATTTATGACAGTCACACAGATAGAGAGAGAGAGGCAGAGACACAGGCAGAGGGAGAAGCAGGCTCCATGCACCGGGAGCCCGATGTGGGATTCGATCCCTGGTCTCCAGGATCGCGCCCTGGGCCAAAGGCAAGCACTAAACCGCTGCGCCACCCAGGGATCCCCGGGCCCCTGTCATTTCATGTCAATTTCAACTTAATGGGGATCATGTAATTATATCATGAGCAGCTGGAAAGGGCAGTCTAAAAAAGTACAGAGTTATTTGTTGGGTAAATATAATACAGAGCCTGATTTAATCATTATTGCGGGTGGGGATGTTGGGGGGCTGGTCATGGCAGGCCTACCTCAAGTTCTGTTCTGGAATCCAATCACCAGGAGTCCAGGGCAGAGATTGGAATGTGAGTTTTAGAGGCAAGTGGCTTCTGTTCAGATTTTGCCTGTTACCAGCCGAATGACCCTGAGCAAGGTACTTTACATCTCTGCGCCTCTGATTCCTCATCTATAAAATGGATAATTCAGCTGCTATCTCATTGGGTTGCCATGGAGGATTAAACAGATGGTTTAATGTGTGGCACATGGTTAGTGTGCAGTGCCTAGTGGGACTGTTGTGCTAGATAATCTCTATCTCATGGGATGAGGATACTAATGAGGTGGGAAACAGGACTTCAAGGTCCAGGCATTTTATCCCCAGGAGATGGGGAGGTTCTTCTGGGTCAGGAGGCTACCTTGCTGCTTCATCCTCATTATCCAACATGTGTAGGAGAGAATTCTGTCCCATTCACTTATAACACATGTCTCTTGAGCACCTACATGCCAGGCTCAGTGCCAATAAGAGAGAGGAGGCCAGGTTGATGGAGCACAGGTAAACCCAGATATTCAGATGGTAATTTGAGATTACCGTAAATGCCGTGCAGAAATTAGAGATACCAAGACCAGGTAAGGAGTTGGGGGGTGGGGAGAGGATAAGGAAAAGGAGATGGGGGAACTGGAAGACAGTTGATTCCAGTCCCTGAAGACAAGAAAGATCTCTCCACAGTGAAAGAGTGGAGAGAAGAGCATTCCAGGGCACAGGGTACAGCAAGTGCAGAGGTCCTGTGGTGGGGACGAGCTTGGTGCATTGAGGTGAGCAGAGGGGTCCGTGTGGCTGAAATGCAATGAGGGAGGTCGGGAGGATCTCAAGGATTGAGTGGAAGAGTTTGGTTTTATTCTGGCTGTGAAAACCCCTTGGAAGGTTTTAGACCAGGAGGGACATTATCCCCCAAAGCACAGGTCTCAGGGAGCAATCCAAAGTGTGGGGATGCATGCGGGGAAAAGCAGGAAGCCACAGCTTCTGTGTCTTTCAGCCCGTACTTTCTGACCTCTGCCGCTGCCACACTAGGTCTGGAGGAAGCGGGTGCCATCTTCAGGAGCCACAGGGAGACAGGAACATATTTGCCCTGCACAGCGACAGGGTCCCAGCAAGGGCCTACAGGCTACAGGGACCCTGCCTGACTTCCCCCCTCTCAGCTACACCGAAGTCAAGCCCACGCTCAAGTTCCATGTACACAGTCTTGTCCACAGTCTGCGGGGGAGTCCTTGGGAGGCCGGGCACCCTGGACGTCCCTTTGCAAACCTTAGAGGCGCCCGGGGAACAGCTAGCTGAGTCCATGACAGGGTAGAGGCGCGGGCCTGGGAGGAGAGCCAGGGCGCTGGGGAAGGCGAGGGCCTCCTCTCCCTGTCTCTGACCCCCCTCACTGGCACCTCCTCGCTTGCCGCCCCCAGGGGCCTGTGAAGCTTCCCTGGCGTGCTCTACCTGCCACGTGTACGTGAGCGAGGACCACCTGGACCTTCTGACTCCTCCCGAGGAGAGGTGAGCAGGGCGGCCCCTCCCGGCTCCGAGGGCTCTGGGCGTCAGGGCTTGCAGCTCTCTCCCCCTTGCAGCTGCTGGCGGCGGCGCTGGCCCGAGGGGTGCCCCCTCCGTGCCCGCTCCCCCCCCCCCCCGTAACCGCCCTTCTCCTTGCTCCAGGGAGGACGACATGCTGGACATGGCGCCCCTTCTTCAGGAGAACTCCCGGCTGGGCTGCCAAATCGTGCTGACGCCCGAGCTGGAAGGGGCCGAATTCACCCTGCCCAAGATCACAAGGAACTTCTACGTGGACGGCCACGTCCCCAAGCCCCACTGACACGGGCAGCCGGGCCACCCCGACGCCCGCGGCCCCAGGGCCAGGACTGGAGGAATAGCCACGGGGCCAGCGCAGCCCAGGGTGTGGACAGGCCCCAGAGATGCTGGAAGCAACCAGAAGACCAAGCCCCTGCCTCAGAGAGACCCCGTGCCCCGGCTCCGGTTGGGTGGGGGGACCCAGCCGTGCTGGGGCAGCCTCCCCCACACTCCTGAGAATCAGCATGTAGAGAAGGGTGGAATCTGACCGGAATGACAATAAAACTCTCGCACACCTCCAGTATCTCGCCTGTCCTGGGGGGGCGGGGGGGCAGGCGCTGCGTCTCCGGCACCCCCAACTCTCCCCTCCCAAGGAGCGACGAGGCCGCGGGGGTGGGGGGAGGACGCCTCGCCTCGGGCGCACACCCGGCGCCTCCCTGGAGGAGAGGCCGTGGGAGCCGAGCGCACGTGCAGCCCTGGCCCCGCCCCCCCGGCGGAGGGATTTGGAGGGATCCGGACTGGCCCGCCGGGGTGCGAAGGCCGCGGGCCGGGGCTGCGGGAGTGGGAGCCAGGCCGCCGGAGGGTGGGGGCCGGGACCCGGACGCCCAACCCCACTCGCCCCGCCCAGGTGGGGCTCGTCGCGGCGCGGCGCGGCCTCGGCCGAGCGCCCCCAGCAGGCACGGCCGCTGCACTCAGGTGGGGCTCATCGGGTGGGCTGGGGTGGGCGGGGCCGGCGCAGTTAGGGAAGTGGGGCTGGGCCGGGCGCGATGGAGGCCGCGCCCGTCTCAGACTTCTCGAAGCTGCAAGAGCTGCTGGCGCCGCCGTGTCTGGACCCTAAGCCGCCCCGGGGGGCGTCCCCCGCTCAGCAGGCACCAAGGACCCCAGGATGCCCCAGAACCAATGGCAGGTGCGTTAAGGAGCGGCCCCTTCCCCGAACCTGACCCAGTGGTCAAAGGGTCATGGCCCCTGGTTCCTGGGGTTATCCAGGGGTCACAGTGTTAGTTTCTGGTACTTAAAAAGAAGAAGTTCTGGTCCTCAGAGGTCTGTGGGGTCAGCTGGGGTTCAGAGGCCACGCAATTCCCCTCAGCCCAGGTCTTTGAGGACTACGTAGGTGCTGCCCTGGGAAGGGGGTGACCACGCTGTGCCTTATCCCCAGGTCCTTCTGGCCTGCACGCCAGGACTCGGTCACTGCCCTGCGTTTCCTCCAAGAAACAGCAGAGGGGCTGGTCCAGACCCCTGCCTGGGACACCCACACCCTGGGGCCCTGCTGGGAGCTGAAGGCCTTGGAGACTCTGGGACCCTCGCCTCTGGCAAGGGATGCCAAGAACATGCTGACCCCAGTCAGCCTGCCGAGCTGCAGCTCGGGGTCCCCAGAGGCTCCCCCAGCCCCCACAGCCCTACCCCGGAGGAGACCCCGGAAGCAGTCAAAGCCCCACCAGGGCGCTGAGAAAGTGGACCCCCAGTTCGAGGGGGTGACCCTGAAGTTCCAGATAAAGCCGGATTCCAGCCTACAGATCATACCCAGCTACAGGTAGGGGCTGGCCCAGAGGAGGGCGCCCTTTTGCAAGTTACAGTGATAATGGTGGGGGCAGGGGCCTGGGTCCCCCGGGGCCTCCAGGCATCTGCTTGGGGTGCGTCCACACCAGCCCTCCATTACTAGCGGCCCGTCTCTGAGCAGTTCCTCAGGCTGGTGCCGGCCCCAGCCCTGCTGCCATGACCCAACAACGTCCTGGTCTGGGCGTAGGTCCTCTTTATGAGATGGGCCTGATCATACATACAGAGGGCTGCCGCCACTGTTATTTTTCCCAGTAATGATAATGACCACCATCTGTCAGGAACAACTGAAAGGTAACAGGTAGCACTGGATATATCTGGGCTCACTGAAGCCTTGTGAAGCCCATTTTGCAGATTCAGAAGCTGAGATGCAGAGGAGGAGATGGCTTGTCCAGAGTCACACAGTGAGCTGGGCGCGGTGGCACGCGCCTGCAGTCCCAGCTACTCGGGAGGCTGAGGCAGGAGGATCGCTTGACCCCAGGTGTTCTGGGCTGTAGTGTGCTATGCCGTTCGGGTGTCCGCACTAAGTTCGGCATCAATATGGTGACCTCCTGGGAGCGGGGGACCACCAGGTTGCCTAAGGAGGGGTGAACCGGCCCAGGTCAGAGTCACACAGCGAGGACTTGGGAGAAATAGGATCTCAAACTGTCAGGCTGGCCCAGACTTCCCACCTCTTCACGTGATAACCATCATTATCATTCCTAACGAGGGGCAAGGCCAGGCCTTTCAGATGTCAGATGCCTCCTTGGGGGGGTGGGGGGAATGCTCCAGATCCTGACAGTAAATCACCACCAAGGGGCCACTGCCTGGGACCAATACAGATTCCCCAATGCTAACTCCTGTCTACTCTCCAGCCTGGCCTGCGGTAGCCGCGCTCAGGCTCCCTCTACAGGCCCTGCCGGGGGCCCTGAGGTCAATTCAGGAGGCAGCGAGGCCCTGGGTGAGTCCTGGTGACTGAAGAGCTATAAATATTTGGGGAAGGGGGGGCAGTTTCCCATTCTCTCTTTCTTCCCATCCTGCTTCCCCATTTAGACCCATCCAGAAGGAGTCATGGTGCACCTCCCTCCCTCCACTCGGGCTGAGTCACCCCCACCCCCGGTTTCCTCCTCTGCTTAGCTTTGCCATCTGTCTCCCTTGCTGGCTTTTCCTCCGTCTTAGCTCTGCTAATACCCAGGGCCGGCCCAGAGCCAGGCGGGGCCTTCCCAGAGATGCCAGCAAAATGCCCCACGTGCACAGGCCTCCTGAGCCCAGACCCTGGGCCTCTGCCCCCTTACCCTTTCACCTCTGCCCCCTTCAGGGCCACGGTGCTGTGCTTCCTGTAGAACCCAGAGGACCCCACTCTGGAGAGATGCAGAAGATGGGACCCCTCTCTGCAATGCCTGTGGTATCAGGTCCTCAGGATGGAGGGAGGAGTTTGGATGCTTAGCCAGGGTGGGGAAGCCCTCACCCTTGGGGAAAGTGGCTTCCCGTGTGGTCATTTCTGGGCCTCTGCTGCATTCTGATGTCAGTTTCTTGTACCCCCACCCCAGGTACAAGAAGTACGGCACCCGCTGCTCCAGCTGCTGGCTAGTGCCCAGGAAAAGTGTCCAGCCCAAGAAGTTATGTGGCAGATGTGGGGTGTCCCTGGGCCCCCACCAAGGCCCAACTCAGGAAGGGTAAGCCAGCCCTTCCTCACCCAGCTGAGCCTGTCCTGACTCAGTTTCTCCAGGGGGGAGATGGGCAGAAGCCCTTCCGGGAAGAGTGAAGATGAAGCTGGGGTCTTTGGGGGTCCAACCTGCCTCTTCTCTGCCCCCTCCCTTTCAGGGATCCCAGATGGAAGACCCAGGCGTCAGGCTCCAGAGTCCCCATCTCAGGGGGCCACTGTCCCCCTCCCTGGGCCCTGGGCCAATCAGGGTTGGCTGAGCCTCCACTCAGAAAACGTCCTCAGCAATGACACTCATATTGTGAACAGCAGTAACAATAAAGAACAAAACTGTGAGAAAGAGAGCACTGTGACTTGGGGATCCCACCTCATGCATACTTACACCCCTCTCCCTGGCGCCAGGAACGTAAGGGCAGGTGTCTTCTCATTAGGATTCCAAGGGACACACATGCAGTCACCTGCACAGGGACCGGCCCTCCCCCTGCAGAGAGTTAGCCGTGTTCACCGCAGCCGGTACAGGGCAACAGCTGCACAGGTGGGGACAAATAACAGGTAGACCGACACCCAGAGTGCCTGGCTCGCTAGGTCAGTACAGTGGGCAACTTTTGATCTCAGGGTGTAGGTTTGAGCCCCACCTTGGGTGTAGAGATTACTTAAAAAAAATAAAATCTGGATAGCTCAGTCGGTTAAGCATCTGCCTTCCGCTCAGGTCATGATCCCAGGCTCCCGGGACCGAGCTCTGTGGGGTGCCTGCTTCTCCCGCTCCCTCAGCTCCCCAACCCCGCGCTTGTGCTCTCTTGCTCTCAAGTAAATAAATAAGTCTTTAAAAAAAATCTTAAAAGACACAAAACAGATACACATGTGTGAGCTGACACACATTTACATCCATGCAAGACACATTGACGAACTCGCATGTGCTGACACAGGAGACACACAGACCACACACTAGCCAGAAACATGCGCTGACGGACACACATCTGATAGACGTGTGTCAATGGACGCATGACGGATACACGTGTATGGTACAGACCCATATGTCAACGCACAGAAAACACACCTAGGTGATACATGTTGGCACACAGGGATACACATACACACACACACACACACACACACACACGCACTGGTCCCTTTGTCAGCTCCACCCCTGCCTGCAAAATGTCACCTTCCTCCATCTTCATGCGTACCAGTCCTTTCTGTGTCCCGTTCCCCCTCTTTCAAGATCTCTCTAACCCCACCAAAGGGTGTGTGTAGCCTGAAGCCAAAAGCCACATGGGAGAAGGAGGTCCTGGCCAGAGCTCAGCTCTGCCACTGTCACCAGAACACACAGGGTACCAGTGCTTACTGGGAGGACTGGTGGGATGCAGCCAGGGTGGGGGTGGTCCCCCATGGCAGTGAGTGAGACCTGCCTGGCCACCTACGCCAGAGGGTGAGCCCCTGGGAAGCCCCCTTCATCTCTCTTGGGTGAGCCTGTGGGGAAGGCCTGGGCCCAGATTTCTCAGCCTTCAGATCCCTGACCCACTTAGTTCCAGTATTCCTCAGCTCAGAACACCCTCCCCCATGTCTCTCATAGCTGCTGCCTTCTCATTCTTTGTTGGGGGGGGGAACAGCCCCACACCACATATTCAGCGCAGCCTGCCTTAACTACCCAGTCTAAAGTAGATACCTCACTCCCTTGCTATGTCAGGCTCAAGTTCAGCTCTTCACTGATCTCCCTCTTAGAACCTACCAGAATTCGGGGGCACCTGATGGCTCAGATAAGCAGCAGCCTTCAGCTCAGGTCATGATCTCAGGTTCCTGGGATTCCATGTTAGGCTCCCTGTTCTGCAGGGAGTCTGCTTCTCCCTCTGCCTCTCCACCCCACTCATGGTCTCTCTCTCAAATAAGTAAAATCTTAAAAAAAAAAAAAACAAGAATTGTCATTTCTCTATTGCTCTGAGGTTATTTCATTCATGTTCATCTTCCCACCTGGACCATAACTTCTGAGATCCAAGGCCACAACTGTGTCCCTGACCCTAAGAGGCCACCCCAGTGCCCAACATGAAGTTCTTTTTTTTTAATTTAATTATTTTTATTTTTTTTTAAATTTCTTTTTTATATTTATGATAGTCACACACACAGAGAGAGAGAGAGAGGCAGAGACACAGGCAGAGGGAGAAGCAGGCTCCACACAGGGAGCCTGATGTGGGACTCCATCCCGGAATCGGGATTGCACCCTGAGCCAAAGGTAGACGCTCAACCACTGAGCCACCCAGGTGTCCTTCACAGCTGTTTTTAACCACTATTCAGCATTTATTGAGCAACTACTGTGTGCCAGGCCCCAATGGGGACATTTATGGTGAATAGAACAAAGATCCCTGCTCAAGTGAAGCCAATATTCTAAAGTGACAGTAAACAAATATTCAATTAAATCTAATAGAGGGGTGCCTGGGTGGCTCAGTCGGTTAAGCATCCGCCTTCAGGTCAGGTCATGATCCTGGGGTCCTGGGACTGAGCCCTGTGTCCTCAAGCTTTCTGCTCAGCAGGGTGCTTGCTTTTCCCTCTGCCTCTCTCTCCCTCTGTTTGCTGGCCCCCTGCTTGTGTTCTCTTTCAAATAAAATCTTTTAAAAAATGAATAATAGAATGTCGGGGATCCCTGGGTGGCGCAACGGTTTGGCGCCTGCCTTTGGCCCAGGGCCCGATCCTGGAGACCCGGGATCGAATCCCACATCAGGCTCCTGGTGCATGGAGCCTGCTTCTCCCTCTGCCTGTGTCTCTGCCTCTCTCTCTCTCTCTGTGTGACTCATAAATAAATAAATAAAAAATAAAAAAAATAGAATGTCAAGTAGTGATTGATGCTACAGAGAAAATAAAGTCTGCAAGGAGGTAAGGTGTTGGAGGGCTACCTTATTGATGGTTCTTTGTAGAGAGACCTGAGGGTAAGGAACCAGCTATGGGACTTTGAGGAATAGATAGTCCAGGTAGAGAGAATGGCAAAAGCAAAGGCCCCGTGGCAGTCTGGACTTTGTGGGACCCAAGGAATCTCGAGGAGGCTGGTGGAGAGAAGTGGTTAAGGGTGTGACAGGAGGGGCTACACCATGCTGGTCTTACTGCCTTCTGTACACTGGCTTGGCTGCTAGTTCCTCCCCACCCCAATCCCCCACCAACCCCTGTTTCCTGCTCTTACCTTAGCTCAGGAAATATTTGCTTAGGGCAGCTGATGGAGTGGGAGCTGTCCAGGACTGCCTCCTCCCCTCAGGCTCTGTTCCTGCTTTTGAGGGAGGCAGAGACTGCCAGGGGGGGGGGGGAGGTCCAGCTGTTCTCTCCTTATGCTGTAGGGGGTGAGGGAGACGGTCGCCTGCCGAGGGGGTTGCAGCTGATACCCATGTGTCTCTTCTGAATCGTGAGAGGCAGTCAAAAGGCAGGTTGGGGGTAAAGTCCTCCATAGGATGGAGGAGGCATTGAAGGTGGGGTAGGGATGCACCCTTGAACAGGAGAGCGTCTTGAAGACTGATGCTCAGAACTGCATTTACTCCTGCTGGCGAGGGGCTCAGTGCCCAGACCCCTGGGAGGGGGCTCCACTCACCCTGGGAAGGCAACCTCAGCTCTGCCTGGAACCACGTCTGGGGGAAACACCTACCTAGCTCCCACCCCCAAGAGTTAGCCAGGCTAGAGGGCAGGGCTGGGCGGAAGAGATAAGGGGTAGGGAACTGGAGGAAGGAGCATGGTCCCCACCCCAGCCCAAGGGGTGGCTGAGAGCAGGAAGCTGGACGGGAAGAGAGATCACTCTCCAGGTCACACCGCGTGAGGGCGGCCTAGACCGCGGCCACCCCGTAGGAGGCCCTCAAAAACAAACAAGGAAAAATAGTTTGTGTCTGAATAACCCGCGGGATGGGTATTGGAACCTTCCGCTGCTTCCACATCGCAGAGACTGAAGTGGACGAACCCAGAGTCCTTTATAAAAACTTTATTGGGGGGGGTAGAAAATGGGGTGACGCCCCTGGAATTGAATAAATGAATAAATAAATAAATACATACATAAATAAATAGAACAATAAGTAAGCCCCCGTGTGCCTCTGGGGGGCGTCCCCCGGCCCGCGGGGATTGGGGAACCGGCTCACGCTGACGTCAGCTGGATGGCGAAGACCTCGCCCCCCGCCTGCTCCTCGCCGGTGCCCGCAGCCTCGGTTCCACCTTCGGCGCCCGAGCCCCCGCCGGCGCCGCCGCCCGCGCCGTTGAGACACACGGCCTCGCCCGAGCTTTCGGCCTCCTGCACGTTGTACTCGCCCTTCTTGCAAGCGGTGGACTGCACGTAGAAGGCCAGGCCGGCCCCCGCGGCCAGCAGCGCCGCGCCCCCGGCCGCGCCGCCCACGGCGACCCACAGCCACGGCCCTGCGGGGCGGACACCCTCAGAGTGGGGCAGCTCAAGGCCCCCCAGCCGGCCACCTGGGTTCCCTCCCCACAGGCACCTCGGGGAACTCCCTGCGCGGGGGATGGGGTGGGGGAGTGGGGGAGGAGAAAGCCTCCAAAGGCTACCCCAGCCCTGGTGCGACCCCGGACCCACTTTACACGTCACCCCTGCATGAGGATAGAAGCCCCCGGCCCCAGGGATACCCACAGCTCAACCAAAAGTCTTCACCCCCAAAAGGATGAAGGTAGGGGGGATCGAGTCATCCCTTCACCCCGGAAAACCCCAGAGATACACGAAGCGGGGGGAGGGGAGGGATGGGGAGACTGGTGGGGCCCCCTCACCCCATCCTCTGCCCTAGGTCCCTCTCCGACACCCCTCCTCCACGGCGCCACAGTGATGGCTGAGTTGGATCAGGTCTCTACCACACCCAACCAGCTCCAAGTCCATAGGCCCCTCCCACAGCCGGCACAGCCCCGGGGGTCCCTCCCCCTTGAGCTCCAGCCCCTCCCCTCTTCCTCCACCTTCCACCCCCAACCCGCCATCAGAGCCCCCCCCTCCTCAGGGCGCCCCTGACTCGCGCCCTGGACCACCTCAGTCTCCTCCGTGGGGAGGGAGAGGGAAGCAAGGTCTGGGGGGCGGTGCCCAAGGCGCAGGCCCCGCCCCCGCAGCTCCCTGGCCCCGCCCCCGCGGCCACTTACCAGCCACTCGCACCGTGATGCGCCGCGCGTGGCGCCCATGCGCGTTGGTGGCTGCGCACTCGTACTCGCCGCCGTGGCTGCCCATGGCGCCCGCCACGCTCAGCGTGCTGTTGTTGCTCGACAGGCCGATGTTGAGCGCCCCGGGGGGCGCGCGCCAGCTGATCTGCGCGGGGGGCCAGGCCTCTGCGCGGCAGGTCAACGTG